CAAGGGTAGAAGCAATGAAAATGTAAAAATGATCAAGAGTTGTGATAAATAACCTGCTGACATGAGTTTTTATGCTGTTCTAAGCTGCCAGTGTTCATACATGGGCTTTAACATATAAAAATAAATGGCCACCTTCACACTTAGGGGACAATGTGTTCTAAATTTAGCCACATCCTTTGCTGAAACACAGCAGGGTGACAGAATGACGAGGCAATCTTGGTTTCTATCCATCATGAATTCCCACAAGTACACAGTAAAACCAAAACATAGAGAAGTTAAACAATAATTTACTTACTATATTCACAGGAAATATCTTTTTCCAGAAAAGTCACGTGTAAAGCAAAACCACTGATAATACCTTGCCTCTTAGACATCTTCGACAGCTTATTCCCAATTTATTCTTTTCCTCTTCCTTTACAATTGGATGTCCGCCCTCACTGTCTCCCTAAATGATGTCCCTCCTCTCTCCCCGCCAATCCCCAGGACCTGGCCAACTTCAGGTGCACAAGAGATGCCACACACAGGGCAAGACTTTCCTGCTGCTGTGGGCTGCTGTTTTCCAGATGTGCGCCTTCCGCTGCGTGCCGGTGCTGCCGTTGCTGTTGCTGCTGCTGCTGCTGCAGACTTGGAAGTCTACAAGTGAGTCACGAAGTAAAAATGTCAAGGACCCACCAGCTTGAGCCATTACATAAAAGCGGAAATTCAGACCATCCGCTGACTTCTCCCTGGAAAGTCCTGATGAGACCTGGGGTGCAGCGCAGTGACAGGGTCCCTGCTAGCGTGTGCAAGACCCTGGGTTTGAGCCCCAGCACCACGAGGAAAAATACTTGCTGATGAATTGATGAAGAGGATTCCCTTACAACCACAAACACATTCACTATCCTCCTGGAACTCCTGGAGAGTTTTTCTCAGGCCCTTGGAAATGTCAGAAGGTTCTTATTAAACTGAACACTGAGTAATAAACTTTAATAGTCTCCAGAGGTACGTAATGCCAAAGAATAATACATGAAAAATGCTGATTTAATAAAAGTACTTATAAACTCCTCATAAATCATTTATTCCAAAGCATAATTTTGAATTACTCAAAAGATACTAAAACCATGATAAATTATAACTCGTGCTGAACTAAGCCTCATGTTTCCAGTATCAAACAAATAGATAAATTAATGTCCTTAATTAGCAGCTGATGAAAAGAAATCATGCGTAGCTTTAAAAGAATCCTATAACGTCTGTGAAATTTCCAAGTCTGTTGGCTAAAACAAGTTTTCCCTGTCACAACCTTTTTTCAGTGTCTCCCTGCAAACTGTCAACCCAATACATCACGAAGGACCTTGTGTCTCCCCATCACAGGAAATTGCTGTAGACAAAGGTATTTCCAATCTGTGATGATTACTGTATCCATCAAACACATAGTTAAAGTTATTTAATACAGCTTAGAAATCTCGATGTCTTTTCTATATGTCTGGGTCACCCCATTCTGTCTCTCATGCATGCACTAAACAGATGCACTCTATTTGTTAGTAGAATACAAACTGAGACATAGCAAAGCCTATTTTATCTAATTTGCATGAGCTGTGCCAACATGGGAGGGGAAGTTGGAGTTAAAGATGCTGTATCTCTAGCTGTCAAAATCTGAAAAGGTACAATCACCCTGACAAGGAGGAGTCAGCAGTTTCTACGGCAATGTTGCAAAAATGATCCCAAAGGTATGCACCAAAAGGGTCAAGATTATGGCTACAGTTTCTGTCCCTCTCCAAATCTTGCTTTTTGCAACAACCTGATTGGGTAGAAAATAATTTTGGTGACTTTTCTTGCTATTCAAAGGTAAGCGTCAAACTTCAGTTATGGAAGAGAATTCCAGAGAGCAGGGAGGAGAGACATCCTCTCAGTGGACTCTGCCTGCTAGGGACAGAGCTGATAGGTGAGCATCGAGAGTGTCCCAGACACCCACACAGGGAGGCAAACTTCACAGTGAGCACCAAGGCACTCAAGAAAAAAGGAGTGGAAGGGGGTGGCAGAACACTCAGATTATCTTTTGAGACATATTTTTCCAGTATGGGCAAGATAGAGAAGCATTCTGCCGAGTCACTGAACTTCAGGCACTGTCTCCAGACATTTTAATTACCTGCCATTTGGTTTGTTACAGAGTTATACAGTTCAGAAGCCATGAATTTGGAAAAGTTCTGAGCATAAGTGTTAGCCGTGGCCTGAGATCTCTCCCTATAAGAAATGCTGCCAAACAACTTACCTCCGTGCTATTTGCTTGTGGTCAAGGAGGCTTATCGAGGACATCTCCTTTCTCTCTGATTGTCACCAAGTCTTTTGGAAGAGTGGGAAAAGAGTGTGGAATGGGGCAAACTATGAAATGCTGGTCTAAAGCTGAACTTGGATGTTGACATGAACCAGGGGAGTCCAAGCCCAGGTGAGGAGGGGGCCAGTCACAGGGAAGCTACAAAGAGAGAAAAAGCCAAGGTCCAGCGTTAGGATGGAGCAGCACAGAAGGACAGAGTCTCCCATCAACTATCGCTCTGCACTGGTGGTGAATTCAGGAATATTCAGCTTTCAACCCACTTTTTAAAAGCACAGTTATACACCAGTCAGTGGGCCAGGTGTTAAGAATGGTGAAACAGCCCTGTGGTCAGCAGGGACGCGAGTTGTGATACAGCACCAGCTGTCCAGGAGAAACCAGGAAGAGCACCTGATCCAGTCAGGTGATGGAGGAGAACTCCTAAGAGCAATGCCACTTCTTTCTGTCAGCCTCGGAGCTAGAGATGGGAGAAAGCAATAGTCCAAGTCCCAGGGAAGGAGGCTCCATGGTATCTGATGCCCTGGAGGAGGCTCCCTGTCTTAGAATTTAATATGTGGGTGGGAGAAAAAGGAAAGTGAGGGGGCTTTTTTGAAAAAGTAGGGGTGCATTTTCCTAAGAGGCTTTGTAAGTCAGGATGAGGCTCAACGTAAGAGCCAAGAGATGCTGCTGAGACGGGCACGCAGAGGAAGCAAGGTCTGGCCCACGTCTCTGAGCACCACTGGCCTTGGTGTGAGGACACACTGGCAGGAAGATCACAGCTTCACAACTTCAGGGTACTACTGAGGGGGTGCAAGCAAGTGAAGTCGGCACACAAACTAGGGATGTGACGGGGAGGTCTAGAGTGACACAGATGAGAGCCACAGAGAGAGTGAACGCCAGATCACGAGGTCCCCTTCTTTGGCTGCGGCCTGGAAAGGAGATGTCCAGAGAAGAGTCAGGCATTGCGCATCCCTGTCTCCACATAGCAGGGCTCGTCCAATTCCACCGTGAGGCTTCACTGTGCCAGGGGAGGCGGAAGAGGAGCTGTGCACCACACCCTCTGTGCACCCCGGAGTCACCGCTTCTACCTTGTCTCAGGCTCGGCACTTTCCAAACTCCAGCAGCAAAAGGGAGGGACAGTGTGTGCCTCGGTTCTGGGAGCAGATCTGCCTCCGCTGTTGCCAGTTCTCCGTTGTAAACTGACACCTTGGGTGGCTGAAAGTTAAGGATGAGGGATGTTCTTCTGTGCATGTCTATGGGGGGTGGGGAACATGCCGCATTCCTGACCTCAGAGTAACTCCGTGCTTTCTGTCGCCCTAAATCCTTGCCATTGGTTGAGGCTCTTCCTGATCTATGCACACCACCACTCAGACAAAACGACTCCCACCAACGCAGGATCATGAGGCCACAGCCACACCGCTGTTCTGGGAGCAGCTTAGATCCTCTCTGTGTGCAGGAGAGGGCTGAAGGGATGGTCCCCAGCTTGGCACAGTTGGGAGGTGATGGACTCTTGAAGAGAGGAGATCTAGTGAGAGGTCATGAAGAAGCCAGAGGCTGAGAAAAGTGGGGATCCTCCATTTGAGAGGAGACCCGAGAGTTCTGACATTGGACGTGACTTCCAGCCCAAAAGGGACCTCACCCCCTTTGTCACGTGGCCCTGTGACCTCCAGCTATGGGGCAAAGAGCTGATGTCCCTGTGCTCCGGAAGCACCTCCGTGATTGAGGCGAGGGACCACCAGCTACTTGGGGCCTAAGCTGGGCACAAAGCAAGGGCAGGAGTGAGACCGCTCGTCCCTGGTAAGAAGGAAGCCACCAGCTGTCCCCTGAGAAACCACCAGTCATCCTGGCAGGGGTTGACACTGGCACAGTGTTGTGGAAAGGCAGGGTGCTCCACATGGCGACAGTGATGGTGGCCCCACGGGACTGTGTCTTCCTGCCCCCCAGGACTGGAAAAGCCAGTCCTCTCCTACATCCGCAGGGGAGGTCAGGCGAGGACACGAAGTCACTGGAGGGTGCACTCCCTTCACACAGGTTGACAGTGGAGGGCGAGGGTGCTCTGGCTCTGCTTGTGGACACTGTCAGAACAATGATAGACTGGCTGTATAGTCAGGCCCAGTTCCTGGAGAGCCTGAGGAAGGAGGATCCCTTGAGCCCAGGAATTGAGGCCAGTATAGGCAACCTGATTTATCACAAAAAATAAATAATTACAATTTTAAAAAACAATAAAAATTGTCATGGGGTGGCGCTCAAAGGTGGAGTGGGTGTTTAGCATAGATGAGGCCCTGGGTTTAATCCCCGGCACAAAAACTTTCAAATCAAATCACATAAATAAATCATTTATTAAAGCATCAGCAGCGCTGCCCTTTGCTGATCAAAGCATGCATTTTCCGTTAGTTGAGAAAGAAGGCGCTCACTGGAGCTGCGTACTCTGGATAGGAAGGGAAGGCTCACCTAGCGATCCGGGCCTGTGTTCACCTGCTGACTTTGCCGCTATTGATTCACCTGCACCAGAGTTTCCCTCCTCACGCCCCTCAAATGCGAGCTGAGCTCTGCTTTGACGTCAGTACTACACCAGGGCTCTTATTTGCTTTGTTTGGAAATATTTTTCTTGGATTGTCTTACTTGATTCTCCAGTATCCGAGGAATTTAGAGAAGACAACAGCACAGTACAGTTTCTTTTGTGTCCTCTCTCATCAAAAGACATTAGAAAGGGTTGGGAGGAAGCTCCTTTGTGGGTGTGCTGCTCTTTTTTTTTATTTAAAGAAAGAAAGAAAGAAAAAACAAAATAGAAAAAATGTAGAATAATACAGAATTCAAAAAAATTAACACTAAGAAATTGCTAGTTGATATATTACATATTGTCATCTTAGAAATAGTTGTTCAGGTTACAAAATCAAAGCATAAGAAGTGATAGACACTCAAACACTGACAGTGCAAACCCTTCTGTTCAATGATCCAATGAAAATTTAGTAATATGGTCATCTATCTTACACACTTAAACATAGTTATATCCTTTAGAGCACGTTCCTTCCCTTTAATTTTTACAATATCTATTATACATTTTGGATCTTATTGCTCTTTCAGTTTTTATTATTTTTTACACTAGAGAGACAGTATGATATTACAAATATGAATCTGATTTATTTCACTTATGGAAACAGTCTCAAATTACCTCCATTTACCTATAAAAGCCCCAAGATCATCCTTTTTTATAGCTGAGTAATATTCCATTGGATAAAAATACCACATCTTTTTCATCCATTTTGTGGTCGATGAACATTTTGGTTGTTTCCAAGATTTAGCTACAAATTGTGCTGCTATGAACTTTGGTGCACATCTATCACTGTGATATGACCTTTTCAGTTTTTCTGGGAAAATACCCAGGTAGGGAATAGCTGGATTGAATGGAACTTCCAATCCTGGTTTGTTGAGGAGTCTCCAAACTGATTTCCACAGCAGCTGCACCAGTCTACACTTCCAGCAACAGTGGAGCACTGTTCCTTTTTCCCTGCAGCCTCACTGACATTTGTTATCAGTTGATAACTTGATGGCAGCCATTCTTTCCGGGGTAAGATGATGTTACGGGTTAAAAACTGGTGATAAACTTAACACCAGCTGAATTAAATCAGCAGGGTGCTGAGCATAAATGTTCCACCTGAGGAAAGTTGCCAGCATAAACAGGGAAGAAGAAGCTATGCGTTAAATCTTTGAGGTGCTGAGGCATTGTGGGTTCTCCTATGTGTTGCTGTTTGAGCCGTTGGTTCTCCCAGAGAAGCTCTGGTCCTCACATCGAGCATTCCTGGCTGTGGAGAGGAAGATGTGTGCCTCTTGATCTCCAGGAAGAACTCATCACACTGGCTTCCTGGCATGTACCCAAAAGTGCTTGTCAGAGGAGGAGCTCGGGGCCTCTGTGTCGCTGAGGATGGCTATGGTGCCTTTCAGGACAGCCCGGTCTTTGTTGTGAGTGTGACTTCTTAGCTCCAGTGTAGAAACCTCATCCCACCAGCACAGCTCCTTCACCCCGCTGGCATGGACTTCCTAGCTTCCATCACTGGCCTTTGGGTCTTCCCAGCACGGATTTGTAAAAGAGGCTGGTGTGAGTCCTTCTTATGGGCTCTGGACCTCCAATTGGACTCGTGGGAGGCACTGTCATGAGCTCCTGGTCTTCATCTGGACTCGTGTCGGACATTGCTGTGGGATTTAGGCCCTTGGCTAAATATTCTATGTCTTTAGCATTGCGGATGGATTTCCTGCAGTCTCTTGTGTTAACTCTGGGTAACCATCATAAAACCATATTATAAGCTCCATGTCCTGATTTTTTTTTTGTTTGTCTTTTTTGTTTTTATCGGTGCCAGGGATCGAACTCACGACTGCCTGCTTGCAAGGCAGGCGCTTATGCCGCTGAGCTAAATCCCCAGCCCCTATGTCCTGATTCTAATTGTGCTCTGCACAACCCCTGACTACAACAGATGATATCTCACTGTTGTAAGTGATGGTGAACATTTCTTCATGTGTTTATTTGCCATTCGTGTGTCTTCATCTGAGAACTGTATAATTATCTCTGATGCCCATTTTTGGAGAGGGTCTTTGAATTTTGGGGGCTTGATGTTTTTCAAAACTTTTTATGTTCCGGATGCAAGTCCTTGGTCTGAGGGATTGTCAGCTCAAATTCTTTCCCATTCTGTGGGTTTTCTTTTCACTTTGCTGGTGATTTCTTTTGAAGTGCAAAACTTTTTAGTAATGTGAGACCCCAGTTGCTGATTCATTGGGTGTGCTGCTGTTGATCAGGATGGTCAGGAGCTTTGACAGTAGGTATGGCTTCCCCTTCTACAGCCTTTCCCAGGCACGCAGAGGTGGCTCCAAAGCCTGTGAGGCGGAGAGATCAAAGAATAAAATCTCACATTTAGACTCCTAGACTGTAGCTACATAGCTTTAAAAACTGACTCCCGTGACTACTCAGTAATCGCCAGTGACCCTATTATGCAAGCAACCCAAGGAATTCTTTATTTAACAGAATTAAGTTTTACATTTCTCAGACTGTTCTGTGCACCGGGGATGCAAAGCTCCACTGGGGAGGGGAAGACAGTAAATAAGATGGACTAAGAGGGTGCTGGGTTGAATATGGCTCTCCGAAATTCCCCCGTTCCCTTGGAACCTGTGAATGTGGCACACAGCACCTTTGCAGGTGCAGCCAAGTTAAATGCAGACTCCAGGTGAGGGCAGGACCTCAGTCACTTTAAGGACTGGTGTCCTTAAATTTGGACATTAAAAAATAAGGAGAACAACATGGGGCAACAGGGACAGAAAGGCTAAAATGCTGAGGATGCCTGAAGCCCTGGAAGCCAGGAGAGGAGCCCGAGTGCAGCCTTCCTGGGAGCCCCCAAGAGAAGCCAGGCTACCGACTTTAGACTTGGGGCCTGCTGAACACAAAAGAGCCGATCTCTGTTGTTTTAGGCCACAATGTGTATGGTACATTTTTATAGCAGCCTAAGGAGATAAAATAACACAATTTATAACTGATGATAAGTGCCATTGAGAAAAGTTAAAGTGTCACAGTGGGACAGGGTCCTGGAAGGTTGTGATATCAGGCTGGCCAAGAACACCTTCCAGAAGGTAACGGTTGGAGATAGCACTGGAGGAGGGGGGCGAGTGACACTTGAACAAAGTGTTCCAGGCAGTAGGGAAAGCACATGCAAGAGCCCTGAGGTTCAGAGAATGGACAGGAGGCCAGTGTGGCTGTAGCAGAGACAGACAGACAGATAGGAAGAGACAGGAGGAGATGAGCTCAGAGAGGTCACAGGCAGCCAGACCCCAGAGCTGCTACAGGCTGTTGAAAAGTCCAATTGCAACTCTTAGTGAGACAAAAAGGAAATCTGTGGAGGGTGGGAAACAGAGAGAGTCAAGATCTGACCTCATGTTAGGGGATCTCTGGACATGCTCTCTTTGTTCCATGTCCTGCAGGAATGAAGACCTGTCTCAGCGTCCCACTGTCAGCATCCCAGAAAATGTGGGACCCCGAGGAGGGACTTCAGCCACATCAGGGGAAACCTCTGTCCCCTTGGAAGGAAGAAGAAGCCCCCAATTGGTAGACAGTCAGCTGATGACTGCCACATGATCTCCAGCCAAATATGGAACATGACCAGGGGTGTCACACGGGGCTTCCGTTACAAGGTGAGGCTGTGTATGTTCACTTCCTCATCAGTGTCACTATGCAACACAGTGGGTCTCTTATCGAAACCCAGAGCTTCTCAAGTGAAAGATACATTCACCAGGTTCATACGAGGTCAGGTGTTGCTGGCTCAGTATCTCAAGCCCAGAAGGATGAACTAATCCTTGAAGGAAATGACACTGAGCTTGACACAAAATGATACAAAGCTATCAGAAAATCTGGGCATGGCACCTCCGGTTCTGAAAAGGGAACAGATTAGCAGCCCAATGAATAAAACCTGAGGACATTCCAGCCATAGAAACAAGCTTCTGGATTGCAAGGCCGATCTGCGATATTTTAATGATGCAATCAAAGATCCTTTTTGAAAAAAGAATAGCATCTCTGAGTTACTGAGAACATTCCTGAAAGAGAAGGACAGGAACAGACAAACCAGGAAGAGCACTGCTGGAATAGGCAGGGTGGGAAAGGGTGGCAGCTTGGAACAGCATCGTAGCAGTGACAGTGTCTGCACAGAGTCGAGTTCAGGGTTGTTGTTGTAGATACAGCAAAGGGGACGGTGGATCAGACGGGGAACATAGTGACATGGAAAAATCAAGGGGAATTTGACTGGCTGTTTACTGGAGGGCTGTGAGAGTGTTATGCACAGCCAGAAGGATCGGGAGTCATTTGGCAGCTCCTAACTTCCAGGTATCATGTAGAAACACAAGTGACATCATGGACTAGGCAGTTAAGCCTTCAAAACCAGGTCAGGGAGCTCCACATTTAGAATAGGTCCTTTCTCAAGGTCACTTCTCCATGGGTAACCCAGTAGCTCCACATGTGGGTTGTCACCACACCTCTCCACAGTGCGTCCTGCAGGACGAGACTTTGCCACGTGGGGAGAGGGACCCACCCTGTGACGAATGGCAGTCTCAAGTCCTTCTTATGGGAAGACCATAAGACCACCTGCTTGATATTTTAGATTGTTATATGTATTTATTATTTATAATTCTCTTTAAAACAAAAAAGGCTTTGGGGTAGTTCGTAATGTTCAAGTGCATATAATAGGAAATTTACCATTTGAAAAAGTGAAGAGGCAATTAGAAAGAGAAGTTAAATAGCTAAGCCAAGCACCTGTGAGGAGGAGATTCCTTTAAGACCTTTGTATGATCATCGTCCTTGGTGGGAGGCTGAAAAGACAGCGAGCATCAGCCTCCATAGAGAACTTTTAAATAACGTTCCCATTCACTCCCTCACTGTTGGGAACACTTTGAACATGTGTCCCTTTGATTCTGTGAGTGCAATTTTTGCACTAATCTGTGAGCTCTACCCAGTTGATGAGACGCTGCCTGCTCCAGGGGAAGGCGTGGAGCTTCCCCTTCCGGGCAGGAAGCAGGAGGCACCTGCCTGCAGCCAGGTCCCCACTGCAAGCGAGTGGCAGGGTCACTTCTTAGTGGGCACACTGGGCGGGCGTTGTTCTTACCAAAAGCACTGTTTTCAGAAACAGATTTACCAATGGTTGTCTGGTCCCTTGATAACCTATGCAGTGTGATCTAAATGTCCAGTAAATGTTTAAATGTTTAACATTTCTGTAGTAAGAGACGTATGGCCGTAAATCCCCCTCAAAAACACTTCCCCTCTATTCAGACACCCTTACCACATCAATCTGGCCACTTTCCGAAGCGGTTCCGGAGTCCACTTTCCCGAGTGTCTTTTCATGGTGGTTTTGACGTCCTCAATGACTTCAAAATGTTCACCGCAATTCTGTCAAATGAAAACGTGATAGTTGATCCTCGTTCACCCTACTCACTGGATCCGATAGCATCTAGACATCGAGCTTAACTTTTAACTTCTTACGACTTTGTTCTCTTTATAGAAGACTTGCACTTAGTACAATTCTGATGGCTATGTAAGCTGGGCCCAGAAAAGTCCAAAAACTAACCATGCCTGAATTGTCAATGGACAATGTTGCATCAAAAGAACAATAAAATCCAAGGGCAGGGATTTTACTGAATCCAAAAGACCTTGCTGGAATGATTTAGATTCTAATCAACGTTGGCTACCAAAGTAAGAAAGGAAAACTAGAAATCTACTAGAAGAACCCTTGGCAGCCCAGTTTGGGAGACAAGTTGACTACTGATGTGGTCACCAACCCTAGGGCAGAAACTCTGCTCGGCTTGCTTCCTTCAAAGTGGGCTACTTATTTAATAATAATAATAATAATAATTCCAAGTATTTCTTGAAGAGCTTGGATGCACCCAGTAGGTGGTAAACACTGTGAGACACACAAAAGATGCATCAGTTTCCTCAGGAAATCAGAATTTCACTCAGAAAATGACAGAAATACGAGCTACATAAACCATGTGACAAAAGGTGTTAGAAATAAAAAATGATATTGGAAGTCCAAAGAAGACGAGATCAGGGTTACCAAGAATATTTGAATAAGATTTCCTGAAAACTGGGACAGAGTGTGAAGAATTTGTATTGGTGGCAGGGGAAGTGAACAAGAAGTCAACAAGAAGCAAGCCCCTCCTGCAAATCAGCGCCGTGGGTGGGCCACCACTGGGTGGCAGCCAAACCCCAGCCCCTTCCGGTGTGCATGCTGGGAAATAGGAAGAGCCAAACCACACCACACCCCCAGCGCCTGTAAGCAACTGGCTGACTCTGAGAAACACAGACTGCATCAATAGCTATCCAGGTGAAATGCAATCCGATGCTGTGGTGTTTAGTACTTCACTGACCTTGCAGGTCTGGGGTTTGTGGTCTGATCATCTATTTAGAGTATCAGCATCTATGGGGGTCTTCAGAATGTGGAAGCCACTGTTAATTCTGTATTATCTTGTTTTGAAGCCCTATATCATTTTCATTGTTTTGTTGGGTTGGGTTTTATTCTGTTTTGTTTTGTTTGATTTTATTGTATCCAATGGCATGGACAGCTATTTCAAAGACAGCAAGATGCATTATGGTAGCTGTTTTGGATTTACTGTTCTCTTGTCATGAAGTCCTTTATTTCATTCATTGTTTTGTTTTCATTGGTTCTACTCTGTTCTGTTCTTTGTTTGATTTTTGCTATGTCTTAAGATATCTGCAGCTATTTTGAAGACAACAAAAGGCACTATCCTAACCATTGTTGATTTCCTATTGTTTTGAAGTCATGTATCACTTACACTGGTTTTTTGTTTTTTATTTGTCTTTTTCCTTTTTATAGGTACCGGGGATCGAACTCACGACTGCCTACTTACAAGGCAGGTGCTTATGCCGCTGAGCTAAATCCCCAGCTCCCCACTGGCTTATTTTGACTGGCTTTATTCTGTTTTATTTTGCTTGGTTTTATTCTCTTTAAAATAAAATGAATAAATAAATGATAAAAGAATTTGTATTCCTCATGACTAGGACAAGTAAAAGTTAACAAATGGTTTGGTAGGCAGAATAACCACTCCCCCTGCTGCAGTCCCTAGAATCTGTGAATATATCTGTGAATCTGTGAAAAGGGGACTTTTCAGGTGTGGTTAAAATGACCCATTTAGAAAGGTGGAATTATCCTAGATTACCTGGGTGGGCCTGCTCTAATCACATGAGTGTTCATACCTGAGGACATGCAGGTAGTTCTTTGATAACGGGCGCAGCGGAAGCAAAATGTCCACAACTGAGCACTGGGAGAAAAAAGCAAGCAATCCCTGCTGATAAATGTCCTGAGAGAACAGCACTGTGTGACTTTGGACCTGAACTTCTATGTCCCCCAAAACCTGCCCTGAAAGCACCCATTGGTTGCTTCCCATCCTGTGTCTCCTTGTATCAAACTTCCTCTCCTTGGAGAGTGGGCACTCTCTTTCCTTGCAGCCTGAAGAGCCGCCCTCACACACAGGTTCATAGACTCTGCCCCCCGGCAGTGATCTGTGCTGCCAAAGGGAAAAGTAATCATTATTTCCTGACCTGAGTTTTGACCTCTGTGGATTTCTTTCATTCTTGTCTGTTGGAGTTGTACAACTCTACAACTCTCGAGAAATTACTCTGATCACCAACCACCCCAAACATCATAGAAAATGCGCAGTCTTAGAGGCAAGGGACAGGAAATTAAAAACTACCCTTAATCCTACACAAATGGATTATTTCACCAAGCATCGCCTAATCGTAGCTCAGTATCAAGACTTGCTGTTTTACAGGCCTTTCTCTCCTAGTAAACTAGGAAATTTTGAGGACAGAATCTTATGCTTCAAAAGCACACCTAGTTTTATACGTTATAAGTATGCATGGGTCCATTCCCTTTGGGAGTTTTCACAAAATAATCTTATTGCTAACATGACCACAGACCTTATAATCAAAGGCTATCTTTCTCCTTTTTCTACCACGAATCACTGTCCACTCTCCACAGAAGAATCCTCTAGTTCAGTGAATAGCATACAATAATAAACACCAGATCTACTGCTTGAAAATGTCTAAGAAAAATTGGGTGGGCAGTCACAGATAGGCATCAACATGATTTCCTTGCCTTTTTTTGAGATGTGAATAAACGGAATTACCATTTGCTGATGAGCTATCGTACGGAAGGGCGGTGGGGCAGAGGAGAACAGTCCATGGCAGGGTCAGCACTGGGCAGCAAAGCCTTCTGATGATTATCCCATCCAGGCTACCAGCTTTTTTTTTTTTTTTTTTAAGCAAAACAGAAAAAAGGATAGAAACAATACAGAGTTTCAAAAAACAGTAGGAAATTAGCACCAGTACTACATGGCATATTGTTATCCACCCTGCCTTGGAGCCAGCCAATTATGGACAGAAACCTCTACAAACTGTGAGCTAAAATAAATATTTCCTCATTTAAAAAATAATAAAGAGTTTTTGTCTACCAGTTGCTGTATATACCTTATGACTAATCACAAGAACAGTCGTGACAAATACAAACTAGTCATGCTATTAAAGGTGAGGTGGTAGGGTCTAGAGGACCAACCCTGCTTGACGGAAGACATTCAGCTCCAAATGTCTGATCCTGGCGTCCATCTGTTTCAAAGTCCTCCCGCCGCCCACTCCCCAACCTGCCTCCTACTCCTTGCATATTGATTTGCAGTGTACGGTGAGTAGATCCGGACTCTCAGGAAGCAGGGTAATGATTCCTGCTTTGATCTGCCTAATTTAATTAATAAGTACTCGGAGAAGATCAGGAGTTTGTGCAGTACCATGGGAGGAAAGGTTTGCTTTGGGACCTGGTGCCACCTGCTGGTTGATCCATGAAACTGGTGGTACAATTGGTTCTATCCAGACCCAACACCCCTCAAATCAGGCAAGTTATGCAGAATTTCTTTAAAAATAGAAGACACAGCCCTCCCGGCGGGGTGGCGTTGGCCTGTAATCCCAGCGCTCGGGAAGCTGAGGCAGGAGGATCGTTACAAATTCAAGACCAGCCTGGGCTACAAAGTAAGCTCACGGTCAGCCTGAACTGTATAGAAAGACTTTGTTTCAAAAAAGGCCAAAAAAAAAGGATCCACATCAAGAGCGTCCTCTGGGGTCCAGTCCTTTCCCACCTTTAGCCTCCAAACCCCGTGTCCAGCCACTGGGTTGGGACGCCCACCCAGGGCCCCTGCACCTGGGTTTCTCATTCATGACGTGCAGTGATATCTCTGCGCATCCCAAGGTTATTGGAGGCTCAGAACAGACAATGGAATAATTCTCTACCTGCGTCCCATTTCGCGGCGCTTCCAGGATGACCTGGCTGCTTTCCGCGCCAGTCTGAATTGCACGAGTGGGTTCCTCCAGCAGAGCCCGGGTCCCTGCCCACCCCCCCAAGCCACTCCTCGTCTTCTGGGCGGGAATTCCCCAAGAAGGGTGGCTGTGCTCTGCGTACTCAAAGTCCACCACCCAACGATGCCCATGGGCCAAGGGCTCAGACACACCCTTGCCTCTTTAATAGGGTTTCCTCGCTGCCCATGTGATTTCAGGTAAGAGTCAAATTCAAAATGCTTCATAAGAGTGGGGGAGAAGGGAGGAAATAAGGAAGGGAAAAAGAAAAGAACAAAATTTAAGACAGTTAGGCTACTGGTTTCTCTTAGTTCCTTGCAAAGGTTTGCACTAACATCGTTTGGAGAATCTTTTAAAGTGTCATATCTTATACTCGGATTAACTAGTTTAAAGATAACAATACTCGATGTATTAACTACTGTTATTCTCCTGTTATTTTGTTAGGAAATTTTATTTTAGTTTTTCCCATAAAATTTTTAAGCAGTAGTCAGGTTTAGGTTTTATTTTACTTAAATTCCCAACATTATAATCTTTACTTATTAAATTAAAATAATTATCCAAAGTATCATTAACACCAATAATTTTCCCTTTTCTAACTTGCCAAAATAATTACAAGGTGTAACAAATAGTAAATATACATTGCTTCCCCCCCAAAAAGAGTAAAGAAGTGGCTTTTCATGACAGGTGCTATCGGACATGGAGAACATCTAGGGGGAAAATGTAAATTTCAAGTGGGTATAATCATAAATTCTTGTGCGAAATAGGAGCAAAAATCTGCCATTATATTTATTGAGAATTTTTTTCTAAGCATTTTGCAATAGAGAGGTGCGTTTAAGGACTTAGCTGTTAGAATGTACGAGCCAGCATGCAAGCCAGGGTTTCCTGCCCCAGGTGTATTTCTACTGTGTCATAACATCGATTCACTGCATGGCTGAGCTGGGTGAGTGTGCCAGGTGTTTGCACACAGTCACCCTCCCACATCCAGCTAAGAGGACCCTTCCATGCACACTCAGTGATTGGCATCATCCTCTGGA